AGACCATTTTATTTAACATTAAAACAAATATTTAGGAATAATCTAACTAAACTGTATAAACCTCTACATAGAAAACAATAAAAATTATTGAAACTGAACACCTGAAGAAATCTTCATGGACTTCAAGGCTCAATGTAATACAAATGTTCATTCCAGCTCCCCTCTGAAGAGTCAATGTAGTCTAATCTAAATCCCAACAGACTTTGGGGAAATTTAGAAATTTATTTTAAAACTATATGGAAATGTAAAAGATCAAGTATAGGCAAGATAATCTTGAATATGAAGAACAAGGGTCGAGCACTTGCTACGTCAAATATCAAGGACTATTATAAAGTTACAGTAATTGTTGGGTACATTCTTATGCTCCATTATTGCTCTGCTTAGGGCTCTTGCTCCTCCGCAATGGTCCTATTGTTCTCCTTGTAGGTCTCATGATTAACAGCCTTTGGCTCTTAACGCAGTTCCCAATGACCACCTACACCTGGCCCCGCCTGACCCTAACGAGAGACATAAATATCCAGCTCCCTCTACTCTACCCCGCTGATGCCATTTTGGTCTCAGCCCTTCTGCTTGCAGATGTAACAATCTATAATAATAAAAGCAATAATAAATAATATAATAATAATATCTTAAGTAGACCGGACATCCTTCCAGATGATCTTCCGGACGAGGCCAGGGCTGTGAGGGAAGCCTATGTACTGGGTGCCTGCCAGCGGCTGGAGGACAGCCAGGGGGAGGAAGGCCTGCTCTGGCACGAATTTCGTGCATCAGGCCTCTAGTACCAGTAAACATAATTCTTTATCCCTTCTTCGGCAACCCTAACAGTAATTAAGACAGAGGTATTGGCAGAAGGAGACCAACCAGACAGAATAAGGCATAAGAGCACAAGCTCACACACAATCAATTGACTCCCAATGAAAAGGGTATCATAGAGCAGTAATATGAGAATGATTTTTTTCAATAAGTGGTGTTGAATAAAGCATGGAATCAATAATATAACTATGTAAGGGATCAGATGGCTATAAGACTCACTGTGATAACTTCGTTAAGTACATAAATGTTGGATCACTGTGTTGTACACCTAAAGCTAATACAACATTGTATATCAACTATAATTAAAAATAAATAAACATCGATGAACCTTTGAATAGGTCCAATGCAGTGGAATACTCTACGGCAGTAAATATGAGCAAACTTCCATAAACACCATAGATGTCTCTGATTGACATAAATTTGAGCAAAAAGCATATAAAGTTTCAAAACCACAGAAAAATAAACCTATGGGATTAGAAATCAGCAAAGTAGCTTTGGGGAAGAGGGAGGGGTTGATGGTTGTGAGGAGGCAGGAAGTAGATTTCTGGGATTCTAATAATAATCTTCATATTGACCTGAGTAGTGGTTCCATGGTACTCACTTTGAAATAATTTATTAACTGTACCCCTTATTATTATAAGGTTCTTCCTCCTCCCAACTGGTGGGCGGAGTTATTACATTACTGGCATCTGTCACAGAGACATCTCCAAGACATTGAGCCATCAATCAGCGCCTGCCAAAGTGTCCTGGAGTCCACCCCTTCCTGTTCTGCCCTGGGTCTAACCCTCTCCTGTTCCTCCCCTTTAAAAGACCCCCAGACCAGCCACGTGCTGCTGATCCTCCATGTCCAGGTGGCAGCCCAGCTGGGTCCATCCCCCCTCCCGACTCCTTCAATTCTGATTTCTCTACGGAGGTAATGAGTCCCGCTCATTACTGGGGAATAAACTTTACTTTAAAACTCCTTGGTGGTCAGTTTCCTGCGCCTCAAACCTTACAATTATCTCATATGAATGCTTTTAAGGATTAGTTTTCACTTTATACCGCTGTGAAACCCCCCAAACTTAGTTGTCACCATTTATTAGCTCACAGTGCCGTCTGTGGAGCTCAGGAGTCCAGCCTGGCTGTGCCGTCTGCAGAACGGGGCTCTCCTCTCGGCGCCTGGGACCCTTGACCCTCAGAAGTTCTCACCAGAGCACTTTCCTTCGTTTCTGACTCAGGCCCTCCACTTCCATTCAATTCACTTCACACGGGGGAAAAGCTGGGAAGAATGCCTGGATGTAAACACAGGAGAGATCACTTAGGAGGCACTTTCAAGGAGATTCTCCAGGTCTTGTGGGACCAAAGGGTACCCCCCTCCCCACCACCCCACCACCGCCCGCCTCCCCAAGTCTCACTCCTGGGAGACTGTCTGCCCATCCATCTGTCTGCAGGGGCCTTTGGCCTCAGAATCAGGAAGTGACTGCCCTTTCTCAATTAGCAGCTCTTTGATAACATTTAAATGGCACTTGGCCTAGATTACTGGGCTTGTCTTATCTGGGAGGCGGGAGGAGGGGGAACTCTGTCTCCCCAGAGGAGCTGGGAGTAAATATTTGTTGAATTTGGTTGGAAGGAGAAAAATTTCAGTGAGGAAGAATTCTAAACCAGAGCCACGTCTAAAACGCTAAGTAAGACCTCTCCTGCCCTCGCCTTGATGTCCAGTGAGGGCACCGAGGGGAGCTGGGCTCCTTCCTCCTTCCTCGAGCCCCAGAGCAAGGCCCTGAGATGACATTGCTTTGGCTTCTTGGGGTTGCTTCCCTTTCCTCTCTGTTGGAATTCCTGGCTCAGGGCAGGAAGGGCTTCCCAGAGCTAATGGCCTGGCTGGGTCTCCAAAAACAAGCCAGTTCAAGTTCCTCTAAAAGCTTCCTGCCAAGTCGTAGACAAAGAAAGGCAGTTGACCCTTGGACAACACGGGGGTGAGGGGCACTGACCCCAAGACACGGGGCTGTGGGACAAGGGAAGAAAGGGAGGAAAATTAGCTTGGTCAGGTTCGCCTTTTCACCAGGTGACTCCAGGACTAGAGAGGTGCCAGCCTGTGTCCTCTCAGCACTCACCAGGATGCATGGCTGCTGCGAAATGCAGAAGCACACCAGCTGTCCCTTCACCGATGAGATCATTGATGATGTGTCTGTAGAGGGACTCCTACCACACGCTCTCCCACTCACACGTATGCAGTCCTCTCCCAAGCCTTTTCTTCCTCCCACCCAGGTCACAGGACAACGCAGCTTCCAAGGGACCGGATTTTCAAGGCACTTGTCCCCCCCGCTGAGATTGCAAATTTGCGAGAGCAAAAGACGCGTTCTTGTAAGCCCCAGCACTCAGACGGTGGCAAATGCAGACCAGGTTTCCAGTTGCTGTTTAAATTCATTGGTAAGAACAGAAAGCCATTAACTTGTTAATGAATGGGCGAGGTTTCCTCCGAGCTGTGGGGTGCTGAGGGGATGGGGTCAGAGGCCTCACCGTCCGTGCGGGAGGGACTCCCCAGCCCAGCCGTGCGGGAGGGACTCCCCAGCCCAGCCGGTCTGAATGTTCGGGAACAATGACAGGTAAGACACGATGCGTCCCAGGAGTTTAGGATAAAAGTAGCCTCGTACCTGAACACTCACCACTGTGCTGCGTGGCTGTCCTTGTGGCTAACTCTTTAGTTGGGGTTTAACTCTCTGTGTCCTCGACCAAGCTAACGTCTATCCCATTTCCAAATGTGTTTTCTTCCTCGACTCTCAGACGAGGAAGTCTGTCTTTTGCCTGTGACGTTGTTGGTCTGGCTGTTCTTAGTTGGGTGGGCGGTTTTAAGCCAAATGCTTACTTGTGCGATTTCACATAGACTCTGTCTCCTGGCCAGTGTTTAATGCACACCTCTGAGGGTGACGCGAAAGCTCCCGAGGCCCAGAGCATCTGCTGGGAGGAGGCAGACTGCCTGGGACTGGGGACCCCACCCCCAATTCCACAGTGTCTCCTGACCCCATGCCAGGTGCTCTGTGGTCTCGGGCACACAGAACTCACTGGCTGGAGGCTGGATGGCCTCCGTCATCCCAGCCGTGACAGAGCAGGTGTCCAGCAGCCACTCTGAAGTCACCACCAATTCCCCCCTCAGAGGCTCAGTTCCTTCCTCCCACCCTGCACTGCGGGTCCCCAGGGCCCAGCCCTGGACAGGGACAGAGTGAACGCATTAAATACCCCGTCAGTGAACGGCCTGGGCTCCCCAGCCCACAGCAAACACCTGGCCCCTCACACACCAGAGCCCTCCTGCCAGACACTGACCAGACCCTGTCTGCCAGGGACCACTGCCTTCCGCCCTCGCACCTGAGGCCTCGGCAAGGAGCCTGCTGGGGCTGCATCCTCCAGCCAGACTCGGGGTCATCCCTCCCCTGAGATGGGGCGGCCTTTGCCAGGTACCGGTTCAGGTTTTGGAAGCCCGCTCCAGCCCCGTTGGAATCCGTCCTGGAAGCATCATCCTCCCGGGTGGCTGGACCTCCTCTGGGCCCACCTGACTCTGAACTTGTGGCTCCTTTGCCAGCTTCCGGCCCCCCATCCCCCACCCACCCCCAACTAACTCCCACTGCGCCCCAGTACGCCCACCGCAGGGCGCCGGGATCCACGCCTTTCCTGGAAACAAAGATGACGGTGAATTCCAGGATTAGAACTTGGCGATGAAAGACCAAACTCCTTGAGCCCCCGCACCCGGTGTTTAGGATTTCCTGATCAGGGCAGTGACTTTTCACGGCTCTTCAACCTGGATCGCCCGCTGGCTGGTGTGATTGGTTTGCCTTTTCCCCCCAGAAAAGGGAACCTGGTGTTTTAACCCACAGCTGGTAGACATTGGGCCCGGGGTCCCCCGTTTTACAAGATCCGCCTTTTCCACTCGCTTTGTTCAGGGTCTGTGCTGCCCATCGCCTCCGTGGGGAGCTTTAGCAGGGTAACTGTGGGGTCCCCCCTCCCCACCAGCCCAGACTGAGCCCCCACCTCCAACCTGCTTCCCCCCCCTGGCTCAGCTGCTAGGACCTGGGGAGCGCCTGTTTCTCACCGGGGATATTGTTATTTTTAAGTTCCCATTTCCATGTCAGTAAACCGATGTGTTACTTTGGCAAGGACTGAACTGAAGCCGAGCTAACGTCCCCCCCCGAGCTGTTGGGAGCTGTGGGCGCGTGAAGATGGAGAGACTCCCCTCCAGGTATGAGCCCCTGTGCTGTGACTGACCAGAGCTCACAGCTTAGGGCGTGGTGCCGAGCCCTCGTCCGTCCGGCTCCGTTTGCTAGAATCTTCCGAGCTGCCAGTGCACTGCCTCCCAAGGCCCTGCCTCCAAGACTTCCCACCGGGGTCGGGCGCTGCCTGCGACTCGTGTGTGAGAAACGGTCAAAGTTGCAACCAAATTAAAAATCTGCTCCCAAGAAGATGAAAGACATAGATTCAATATTTGCAAAAGCACAGGGAGCAAAAGAGAATAACAGGAAATGTTTTTAACCTGAAAACGTTTTAAATGATTGGTTTAAGTGAAATAGTCAGCAAAACGTGGTTTTGTCAGTGACACAGGAAAGGTCGTACGTAAAAATCACGTGAAGGAGGAAAGCCTGTGAACTGGGTTGTCAGAGATTCACCCCATTCACTGAAGGGCCTGTGTGGGCAGCACCAGGGAAGTCAAGTCCTTTGAACAGAGATGGCTGTTAGCGCCCGGGAAGTCGGAGTGCCTGTGTGACAGAGATGGCTGTTGGCCGTTCTCCTCAGGCTTCTTTCTGCTGTTAGTGACTCCGTGTTTCACAGGGAAGGGCGGGTGGGAGGAGGTGCCAGTCCAGAGGCCCCCTCCTGGCCGGGGTCTGTCCTTAGGGAGCGCCAGTGTGAACGCAGAGCCTTCCTTCGCTTTGTGTTGCTGACTCTGACTCCCCTTCCCAGGCTGATGCTGATCCTGGCCCTTTCCAGAGCGTTGGAGCTGCAGTTGGTTGCTGGTAAGAGACTTTGGTTCCTTGGGTCACCAGCAGTTGGACACGCCCAGGACGGGCTCCCCGAGTTGGTTTTGTCCTTAGGGCCGGGCCACTGCGGACGTCCCTCACCGGGAGGCCTGGTGGTCCCAGCGGGCAGCCTCCGGCCCCAGGGGGAGCCCGCGATTCGTCACTGGCCTCTCCAGGGGGCACCACTCATGAGAACCCAGGACAGTAAGAGCGCCTGCCTCGGTCTCCGCGTGGGGAGGCCACACCGGTCCTTCTCCCGTCTCCTGTCTTTGGAGCTCTTGCACCCGAGAGTGTGGGCACCTGCGTCTGGAGTGGGCGGGTGCGGGGACAGTTTCACTGTGGAGGGAAGACAGGCATTGTGTGTGCACTTGGCGTCCCTGGAGTTTCCTCCGCCTGATTCCACTTCACACTGGGGACCTGGGAACCACCACAGCCTCTGCATGAACAAGAGTTCTCTGCTGCCCAGCAGGGGGCTCAGGGGTTGAGCATTGACCAGTGAACTGATGACCTATGAGCATTTGATTCCCGGTCGTCAGTTCACTGGTCACAGGCCCAGGTTGTGGGCTCCATCCCCAGTGTGGGGCGTGCAGGAGCGGACGATCAATGATTTTCTCTCATCATTAATGTTTCTCTCTCTCTCTCTCTCCCTTCCTCTCTTAACTCAATAAAATTATATATATATATATATATATATATATATATATATATATATATATATATATTTTTTTTTTTTTTTTTTAAGAGTTATCTTCTCAAAGGCATGGGTAGCAAAGGGAACATGAAAAACCAGTCTTATTCTTGAGGCTTGTAATGTTTCAACATGTGCCCACTTTTTGTGTCAGGGACCAAGGAGTCCACGTCCTTGGGGCTGCACTGACCTTGCTCACAGGAGCTGGGCTCTCCCATCCCTCCACCCGCTCAGCCATCTCTCCTCTTTCAGGTAAGGAGCTCAACAAGACCTGCTGCCTGAACGGGGGGACCTGCATGCTGGGGTCCTTCTGTGCCTGCCCCCCCTCCTTCTATGGACGGAACTGTGAGCACAACAAGCACAGAGAGTAAGCTGTGGAATGGGAGTGCGGGGGGCGGGGAGGATTTAAATGTGAAAGTGTCGCCTTGTCCGCTCCTCCAGGAACTGCGGGTCCGTGCCCCACGACACCTGGCTGCCCCGGAAGTGCTCCCTGTGCAAGTGCTGGCACGGCCAGCTGCGCTGCTTCCCCCAGACGTTCCTGCCGGGCTGTGGTGAGTGGCGTTGCCCTTTGGGAGGTCGTGCTGTGGGCACTGAGCCAGAGGGGTCTCTCGTCGGACCTCGAGGCTCGCTGGACTGGCAGCCGAGTTCTGCTGGTGAAGTATGGAGGACTGCAGATGGGAAAGTGACCTCAGGGTCCTTGGCTTCTTGCCCTCAGTGTCGCTGGCTGTGCTGCCTTTCGGGTGGAGAGCCATTCCCGGTCTCTGACACTTTCTGGCACGTGACCGTCTAGTGAGGAAAACAAACAGGACGGTTTGGCCTCTTCAAACACCGAGCGACTTTCTGGGTTCCTTGCCTCCTTCAGACGGAGAGACCCAGACCGTCTCCAGGGTTACAGCTCCGTCAGGAGCCACTGCGCAGCAGGGCGGGGCTCCCAGCTCCAACTCTGCCCTGAAGCTGTACCAGGGGCTCAGCCCCACTCTTGTCCCTTAGGAACTTATGGGTCCTAAGAGGTCCCTGCACGGACCCCTGGGCATTGGTCTGAGGACCCCTGCACCTTGTTGATTCGGACTGACTTGAGGACAACAAGGACACAAGGTGGACATGAGGAGAGGGGTCTCCCCACCGACCTGCCCGGGTTTCCAGGCCCACCCAGGTCCAGGCCTCTCATAGTTCTGCCCCTGCAAGTGTTAGAAAGTGAAAACATTCAGTCCACAAAGTAGGTAAAAGCGGTTACTTCATGTGAGGACAAGAGGGGACCCAACCACCACCCGCCATCCCGGCGGGGACTGTCTTTCCCTTTTGCACCCCTGCATGCCAGGCCCAGGACAGACATTTGCTGTGTGAGGTGAATGGTTGGATGGGTGAGGACAGTATGTTCTTCCTGCAGTGTGGGACCCAAAACATGCTGTGTCCTTGCTATTAGGGGCTCGCCACATTCTGCTGACCCTGCCACCGAGGGGAGATGTCACCGGCTTGAGGGGCGGGTGAGAGCACAGGTCCAGGGAAGGGCAGGCTCACCATCGGCCTGTGGCAGCGTCTGTGGAAAGATCTGGCCAGAGTCTGGATTCCTGGGGTCAGTACTGTTGATCCCATGAGCACACTGTACGCAAACACTGAGCCCAGCTGGCTTGAGGTTCGTGTTGATCTGCCACGTGTGTGGGCAGCAGGACCGACGGTCGGAGGGATTTCCTTTCGTGATCAAACGTCCCCCCTTGCAGATGGCCACGTGATGGATGAGCACCTGGCGGCTGCCAGCGCCCCGGGACCGACGCCGTCCGCAGGCACCGCGCTCCTGCTGGCTGGCACCTGCCTCGCTTTGCAAAGTTCGCATTAGCCGACCTTCGGCGCAGCATTTGTCACGCGGACTTCACGCCCCGTCAAGGCCGGCCTCCCCGTCCCGGAGCTGATTGCTTGTTAGCTGCCTTGAAGTAGGGACTGGGTTCCGTCATGGTCCCTGACAGTCCTTACAGGACAGGAATGCTTCGATATCACGTGTGGTGCCAGGCCACAGCAGTGAAGCGAACGTCGGAATAAAGCGAGTCACACCGATTTCTTGGTCCTCGGTGCACACAGTTATGTTTACACTGTATTGTGGTGAATGGGGTTATGTCTAAAACAACGTCCAAACCTTAATTTAAAATATTTTGTTTCTGAAAACTGTTTGCCATCATTTGAACCTTCTGTGAGTTGTCATCCTAGCAGGTAAGAGGCATTACCTTCAATTTGTAAAAAAAAACAAACACACACCCACAATGTCTGTGAAGCACAATAAAAGAGATTTGCCTGAACCAACTACTTATGAGGTGTACTGGTTAATAATTCGGATTTTTTTCAATAGATGGAGTTATACATATGTTGATATATATGTGATTTTAATATGTATGCTATTTTGTTGTATTGCTCCTTCAGATTACCACTTGTTTTGATCAACTGCCTCCTGCACACCCTTACTGGGGATTAAGCCCACAATCTTGATCTTCATACTTCAAGACATAGGAAGAAGTAGAAGATTGGGTTTCTGAATGGTTTGCCTCAAAACAAGAAAAGTTCTATTGGGACTGTGTCCACAAATTACCTGAAAGGTGGGGAAAATGTGTAACTAGCGATGGACACTACTTTGAATAAAGCACTTTTGATGTTTCTCTTGAAATTATGTTTCTCTGACTCCAACATCTGCATTATTACAGTTAATAATGTGTATTAATTATTAACTGGTTAATAATTTGGATTAATTATTAACTGGTTAATAGTGTGGATTAGCCGAAACCGGTTTGACTCAGTGAACTGAAAGGTCCAAGGTTCAATTCCGGTCAAGGGCATGTACCTTGGTTGCGGGCACATCCCCAGTTCTCTCTCATCGATGTTTCTAGCTCTCTATCCCTCTCTATTCCTCTCTGTAAAAAATCAATAAAATATATATATTTAAAATAGTGTGGATTAATTATTAACTAGTTAACAATGCAGGTTAACTATTAACCAGTTAATAATAAAGATTTTATAATCCAAAGAAAACGCGATAATTTCAAGAGAAAAATCAAAAGTGCTTTATTTAGGCCCTGGCTGGTGTGGATCAGTGGATAAAGCATTAGCCTATGTACTGAAGAATCCTGGGTTCAATTCCAGCCAAAGCCTCATGCCCAAGTTGTGGGCTTGATCCCCAGTAAGGGTGTGCAGAAGGCAGTCAATCAATAATTCTCATTATTGATATTTCTATCTCCTCCCTTTCTTTCTCACATCAATAAAAATATTTTTAAAGTGTTTTATTCAAAGTAATGTCCATCATTAGCTACACATTTCCCCCACCTTTCTAATAATTGTGGGTACCGTCCCAATAGAACTTTTCTTATTTTGAGGCAAATGATTCAGATACCCAAATTTCCACTTCATATGTTTTGAAGTGCTGCTTAGAAAGTGCATGTGCCATCGATGGGAACACGTGGTTATCTGAAAAAGTAAGGTCTGGTGAATACAGTGGGTGGGTTCATACTTCCCAGGCAAGATCTTTTAACGTGTCTCTAACTGGTTTTGAAGTGCGTGATGGTGCGTCATCATGAAGCAAAATCACTTTGCCAGGTCTTCTGGCACATTCTGGTCATTTCACGATCAAAGTGTGGTTCAAATTGATTACTTGTTGTTGGTAGCGATCAGTAGTAATAGTTTCACCTGGTTTTAGAAGCTCATAATACACCACACCTTCCTGATCCCACCTAACACAGAGCAGTGTCTTCTTTCTGAAGCGATTTGACCTTGCAGCCGATGTTGATGGTTGACCTGGATCAACCCATGATTTTGTGCGTTTGGGATCCTCAAAATAAATCCACTTTTCATCGTCAGTCACAACTCTATGCAAAAAGAATTTTCTTTCATGTCTTTGAAGCAACATTTTACGGATGACTTTTCGGGTTTTCCATTTGTCTTTCATTCAGTTGATGAGGCACCCCATCTTCCTTCCTTTAAAATCTTTCCCATTGCTTGTAAACAATCAGAAATTGTTTGCTGAACAAAGTTTAATTTTTCTGCAAATTGTTTTTTAGTTTGACATGCATCTTCATCCAATAGTACTTGTAATTGTTGGTCTTCAAACTTTTTGGGTTTACCTGGACATTCTTTGTCTTTCACAGCAAAATCATCACTTAAACCGTTTAAACCATAGTTCACAAGTATCTTGAGATGGAGCATGTTCACCATAAACTTCCTGAAGTATACAATAACTTTCATGAGGAGTTTTCTTCAAAATATTAGTACTTCTCCCTCTACAGATTATTAAAAGCCAATCTAACATGGAACTGATGGTAAAGCTTTGAGTGGAGAGAGCTGGTCACAATCGGTTAAGCCAGTGTCTAGAAACGAAATGGAAGCATCTGGAAGGGGAGCAATGAGAGGGGACAGACAGATGCTGGAGGAATGAAGGATCCATGTGACCAGGGAGACCAGTTAGAGAGGAGGCAAACGGGAGAGGGCAGAAACGATACTGACATTACTGGGTAACCACCCCCACCCTCCACACCATCATCACCATCTCTAGAACTTTTTCATCCTCCCAAACTGAAACTACCCATAAACAGTCTCTCCTCCCCTCCCCTCCTCCAGCTCCTAGCAACCCACACTCTATGTCCTGTGTCCATGAACCTGACTATCCAGGAACCTCATGGAGGTGGAGTCACAGAGCACATGTCCTTTGTGACCTGCACTCCCCCTCCCACTGTCCCCCACCCTCACCCTACCAGCATGGGGGGGTAGGGCTGAACCCCCCACGGGTCTCAGATCCTGTAACACTCCATTACTGATGTGTTTCCACATCCGCCGCCCCCACTGGAATGTGAGGACCTCAGCACCCGATGCCCATCACTGGGGACCCTGGAGCTGCTCTCTGGGTGCGGGGATGGAGAGGGGGAGGTGAATGCAGGAAGGGAGAGAGGAGAGGGGAAAGGAGAGAGAAGGGAGGAAGGGAGAGAGGAGGGGGGAGGGAAAGAGGGGGGAAGGGAGAGAGGAAGGGGGAAGGGAGAGGGAGAAGGGAAGGGAGAAAGGAGGGGGAAGGGAGAAAGGAGGGGAGAAGGGAGAGAGGAGGGGGGAAGGGAGAGGGAGGGGGAAGGGAGAGAGGAGGGGGAAGGGAGAGAGGAGGGGGGGAGGAAGAGGGAGGGGGAAAGGAGACTAGGTGGGGGAGGACTGCAGGCTGGGAGATTCCTTATCGTCCTCATTAGCAGCTCTGTGTTACAAGACAATTAGCACTTGGGACCCTGCCCACATCCCCACCGGGAAGAGGATGAAAGGAAGCGTGCCCTTTACCAAAGGGCCCCACAGCGTCTGGCGCCTCCAGGAGTCAGAGCTCTCCTGCAGACCTGGCCAGCACCATCTGCTGATGTAAACAACACGGCAATGAAAGCGGAAGGGGCCTCCTGCTGTCTCCGCCTAAGCCAGTGGTCAGCAAACCGCGGCTCGCGAGCCACATGCAGCTCTTTGGCCCCTTGAGTGTGGCTCTTTCACAAAATACCACGTGCGGGCATGCACATACAGTGCGACTGGAACTTCATGGTACATACGCAGAAGTAGGATTTCGGCTCTCAAAAGAATTTTCAGTCGCTGTCCTGTTGATATTTGGCTCTGGTGACTAATGAGTTTGCCCACCACTATCCTAAGCAACACAGTCCTTCTGAGCTACACACTGTTCCTGACGCTGAATGTCTGTGTGAATTAACCCTCCCAGATGGGCCCCGTCCACAGGCCCCTTCCCCAGGTTCCTGTCCCCTGGCGGCGTCAGCACATCTGTCCCCACTGACAGGCTGGGGCAGGCCCAGGTGATGAAGGCCCCCGCCACCCTGAGCTGCGCCAGGGAGCGGAGAGCAGAGCAGAGTGACCCGGTGGTGCCTCAGCTGCTGCTTTCGCCCACAGGGGCACTCGGAGCCTGGCCCCCGGGGGCTGGGCTGCGGGAGGAGGGCGGGGGGGGGGGCTGCGGGAGGAGAGAGGGCAGAGGGGGTGGGGGCTGCAGGAGGAGAGAGGGCGGAGTGCAGCATTGCCCCAGATCCTGGGTCAGTTGCCTGTCACATCTTGGCTTCCCTGCGCAGAGCAGTGGTCTCTATGAGGCAAGTGCCAGGAATAACATTTGTGCCGTCCCAAGTAGAGAGCCAGGCATGTAGAGAGGGGACATTCGGTCCTCAGGGCCAGATGGTGGAGACGGACTAGAACTTACAGTCTGCACTGCCTTGTATGGAAACCTTCCTTTAAAAAAATTTTTTTAATTGATTCAGAGAGGAAGGAAGAGAGAAATATCCATGAGAATCACTGATTGGCTGCCTCCTGCACCCCCCATTCTGGGGGATTGAGCCTAAAACCCAGGCAAGTGCCCTGACCAAGAATCAAACCGTGACCTCCAGGTTCATAGGTTGACACTCAACCACTGAGCCACGCTGGCCAGGCTGTCTGGAAATCTTAACAAGACAAACCAGGTTAATTGTGGGGCTCAGAGCGGAGAAAACCCAGGGGTGCTCTAACCTCACTGTCCCTGCCCCTGCGGGGGATGATATCAACACCATGTCTGAAGGATCCTTGTGAGGATGGCATGAGAGGGTCAGGGTCCTGCTGGACTGGTCTGGCACATGGTCCCAGCACCTCAGATCTGCCCAGGGCAGTCAGCCGGGTCTCCATGGGCTGGGCTGGGTGTGTGGATGTGAGTTTCAGCGGTTGTTCTGGCTCCTGACCACCCGGGGTCCCAGAGGGACACGTGCCCCACCTGTGCACACATTCTTGCTCATGGGTTCGAGGAATCGTGGAGGAGGAGCCCCATCACGCTGTCACTCAGCCTGATCCCTACTCCGTGAGGCCCGGCCAGAGCGCCGC